GCAGTATCAATGAAAGCGATCTTCCTCCCTGACATCGTCAGGCAGGGATCGTAAGGTTTGTACCGGCCATCTACAAGCTTTGCTGCACTGCTTTTGCATTTGTGCGGCGCCGCCTGCATACATTGGGTCCACGAGAGAAAGTCCTCCGTGACCGCAATGAGTTTTTGACAACCTGCACTAGATTTGCTATAGAGGCCTAAGTCATCAGCAAAAGCTGTTTGGGACACTTGCAAAGGGGCAGATTTAAAATCATAGGAGAGGCAACTTAATTCAGGGGCTGCAAGTGAGTCCAGCAGAAGCTGGAAACAAATATTGAAAAGGACCGGGGACAAGGGGCACCCCTGGAAAACACCAATGTTGTAATTAAAGGTGGGGGTGTGTGGTTGTACGACGAAAGCGCAAAGACTGTCGTAGTAGGAAAAAATTAATTTCCTGAATTGCAAAGGAAGGCTGTAGTGGGTTAGAGCATACTGTATCAGATTGTGGCGCACTGAACCAAATGCATTCTTCAAATCTATCCACGCAATGCAAATTTGGCGTTTTGCCGTCTTTGCATCACGCATCGCCTCATAACAAAGTGATGTATGCTCTAAGCACCCAGCCTTTGCAGGCATAAATCCTTTCTGGTTGTCACCATCGAAGAACTTATTGCCTAGCATATGTTTCAAGAGGCGCTTTGCAACTAAGGTGAAAAAGATCTTCCCGGACGTGTTTGCTAGAGCAATCGGTCGGAATTTCGAAGGATCATCAGACACCTCCCCCTTGGCCAGGAGTGTGATACACGCTACCTGCCACTGCCTTGGAATGATCTTGCTCTCCCAAACCCGCCCAAAGATGGTGAAAAGAATGGATTGAAGGGAGGGACAAAGCTTCCAAACTATGTAAGGTATCTTGTCAGGACCCGGTGCAGAGGTGTTGCGACACTTCTTCAAAACATTCTGAAATTCAGTCCATGTAGAGGTCCCCTCATCGACTGGGTGGGTGCAATCCCGGGGCTTCCCTGCACTGGGGCAGGATTCGTACGAAGTGGCACGATCCTGGTCTGCATATGTGTGTTGGAAGTACTCAAAGCAGGTAGTGTCAGAGAAAGTGGGTTTGACATGGTTGGTTGGTTGAAACAATTTCTTTCCAAGGCATATGGGTCCTTGAGAAAGGTATCCTGGTCCCTCTTGTTCCGGGATCGATCGTCGTACATCTTTTGTTGTTTCAAAAGACGCTTGATTTGTTTTCCAATTGAAAAATACTCATTTCTGAGCGCTGCAGGTACTTCGTCCGGGTTTTTGATCTTACGAAATTGGCGCTTTAAATCACGCCTGTGAGCCGGGAGTTTTTCCACTGCACGGTTTTTATTTGCATTCTTGTGTTTTGGTGGAGGTGGTGGTGGTTTCTGGTCGAAAAACCAGTGAATGAAGTTCTCTAGTTTGTCCAGAGTCTCTTCGATGTTAGTGTTTTTGAGGTATGAGGTTGGGAAATGTTGAGTGAGATGGATCTTCAACTGAGCGTTTATTGTGTGCCATGCCTTGGTGTTTTTGGCTGACGGTAGCAGTAGGGACTGCCGGACTTCTACCTTGTCCATGTCCCGTTGATTCAGGACATGAAGTAAAGACTCATTATGACAGGGAGTGGATTCGTGCGGGATTGTTCGCAATTCATCTCCAGGAGTCATTGTCTGACCTACAGATGGGCTGAAGTGCATTGAATCAATCATGGAAGTCGTCCGACCATCCCCGCTACTGCCGTCTGCTTTGGCTGAGGTGGTTGAAAGTGATTTGTAGACCGGGCAGGTCTGTAGATGTCGTGGCAAGTTTTGTTTCCATTTGAGTTTTCTCAAACAGTGTGGACATTTTGTTTCCCGGTCTGATGGTGTAATGGTTGGTATACTTGCCTCTAAAGTCATTGGAGTCTCATGTGGTGGTGATGCAGAGACTGCTGACACAGCTCCAGCCTGCGATGCAGCCAATGTTTTGCATTTGTTAGTCCGCATATGTCGTGCAAGGTTATGTTCTTGTTTGATGGTGGTGTGACATTTCGGACATGTATGATGTTCACCTGTGTCATGCCGTGTACTGGAGTGCTTCCGCTGGCTTGAGGTCAAACCCAACGGAGAGAGAGAGAGAGAGAGAGAGAGAGAGAGAGAGAGAGAGAGAGAGAGAGAGAGAGAGAGAGAGAGAGAGAGAGAGAGACAGAGGGAGAGAGAGAGAGAGAGAGAGAGAGAGAGAGAGAGAGAGAGAGAGAGAGAGAGAGAGAGAGAGAGACAGAGAGAGACAGAGAGAGTCAGAGAGAGTCAGAGAAATAGAGATAGATAGCTAGATAGTAGACAGACAGAGAGACAGGTACTTCAAAGTAAGTAGAAGAAGAGAACGGGAGTGGAATAAATTGAGCAGGGAGCAAAAATCACCGCCGCACATAAACTTACAACAGGCCAGTCATTGCTGGATGGCTGTGTATGGGCAACTTGGCACCTTCTTTCAGTACAAATATACAGATGGTACAGAACGGCGAGTCATCCACGCCTATATAGCCACAGGACTCTCTACGGATGGGCGGCTGGCCCGCCAGCAGTCCAACATCACGCGGTGTCAAGCTGCACATCTACACAAGCGGTAGGACACGCACGTACACACACATAAACACACACACATATACACACACACACACACACACACACACACACCGATACACACATTCGACATTGATAGTACGGTATATTTCTAAGGATTCTCCAAAGGCAATAATTTGTACAGGATCAGATGGGCTTCGGTCAACCACAGGTTCCGGATTCGTCTGATAACCCGTGTACAGTGCGCATTGCATCATCAAAGTGACGTCAACTTGAAATTCTGTCGGGACAGCACCCATAGTTAAGTTGCACACGCTGGGGGGTTAGGTTATGTACTCTTGACTACACTGAGGATAATATAAAGGGTGTTAGTGAGAGTACATGTAGTGATTTTTCCGCTGAATGAGCCGAGTACCAACGGAAGTGTCGTTTTGCTGATGGTGTGCTGTGGCAACGTGTTGAGGTCGGGCCGGAGAGCGCAACGGTGTGGCGTGGCGGTTGATAATAATTTGGACAAGGCCGAATGCTGCTGCTGCTTGCCCCTATCAGTTGATCGGAATTTCCCGGTCCAACAAACAATCACCAGACAATCTTACTTTCCTCCGTGTACCTCTTGTGCACTGCCCTCTGCTCTGCCCACCACATGTACAGGCAATGAGCACTATACAGTCAACCTACCCTTATAACGATAACCTCTATAACGATGAAGTTGATTGTTCCAACTAGGAACACACGCTTCTTGCCGAGTCAAGTGTCAAGTTCGGCAAGAAGCGTGTGTTCCTAGTTGGAACAATCAACTTCATGACTATTACCGCCGAAGTCGCAACTTCTAAGTTCTCTATAACGATATTACCCTGAAAACGATATTTTTCTGCCAAACCAAATCACTCCATTGACTTTTGTATACAACGCCTTACCCTTATAACAATATTGCTATAACGATATTACCCCTATAATAATACAAGATGGGCTGACCACTCGACATTTTCCATTTTATAACAATATCCAGCAGGGAATATGTAGAGTCCACTGTCAAGGTAGGGCAAGCTTCACTTGATAAGTCGCTGGGACATGACGAAATGCAATTGGAGCACCAGTGGGCACCTTGCTGTGTACATTATGTGCATGTACATACGTTTTTGACACTATGAAGAGTGTAAAAAATGAACTAAATTCATGCATGATGACGTATGTGTATGAAATGAACCAGTTACCCCTATAACAATATTACCCTTATAACAATATTTCTTGGTCCGACGCAAATATCGTTATAAGGGTAGGTCGACTGTAGCTGGAGACTATGATAGCCATGGGTGCTACACAGTGGAAGTCATAGCAACCACTTGTGCCGGGATGGCGTCGGTCGACAGCTTGCAAGGCTGACGAATTGACAGCCACGATTCAGCCTGATCTACCCCGCACAAGCATCATTGGTGAATCACGTATCGGGGTTCTAGTCAATGGGGGGGGGGGGAAGGGGCGCAGCCCCCTCACCCCTACACGGATGGCGCCCCTTATTTTGATAGCGCACCACCCTACTCATTTTATTTTTTCGTGTTTATCAGGTCACACAACGAAAATGTGACCAGAAATACATCGTTCCAGGTGCTCGCTGTGCCCGTACATTGCATGTCGTGTAACAAAACATTGAAAACGATAATAGTGGAACATCAGTGTCTGCTCCAGAGCCGGGTCAGCTGGGTCAGCGACCCGGTTGGTGGGTAACTGAAGTTGGACCCGTTTGAAAAAAGAACACCGGGTCACTTGTGACCCGTTGGGGAAGATTCATGGAAGTCATGTCGAGTGCCTTTTCTGTTCTTCAAGGGAGTACAGACTGATCTGTCAGTGACAGGCTGAAGGCGTGTACCCGGCCGGCTCTGACCCGGTTGCAAGAATTGTGCCAGGTACTGGTGTACCCGGTTGGGTTGAAATCCTAGAGCAGACACTGGAACATGGGAACAGATGGGGGCGAACTGTTTGCTTCGCCATGCGCCCCCCCCCCCCCCCCACACACACACATTTTTCCTGGCTAGAAGCCTGCGTATCGCAGTCGCAGCTCATTGCAAGTGCCGCATCACAAAAAGCGATACTGTGTGAACCGTTGTTCGAAAGCGACAATGCGAATCGTGCCTGCAGCATCACAGAACTGAGAGTAGCGGTTAAATGGGTAGGCAGAGTGCCTGAAAACCTGCTCCCCACAATTGTAGATGACCGGCCCAGAGTAATCGGGTACTCAATACATGCAGCACCTACGAGTTAGTACTTCGAATACAAAATGTCGGCACTGCAACATTTCAGTATTGCTTTCACCATTTTCTAAAATTCGGAAACGATCCGCACTAGATCATTTATTATGTCCTACAAGCTGCCGGAAAACCAATACCGTCGTTCTTAATTTTAGGCTGTGGCGTTCTTAGCATTTCAGGCTGGACGTTCTTGGGCTCCACGTTCTTCAGCGTGCGACTCTACTGTAATGCATGAGCTGATGGGGTACACGAAACCCGACTCGATAATGGCGGGGCTCGCCCTATAGCCTATACAGGCTACCTGTTTGACAACTAATTACTAGCACGCGTATAATGCATGATTCACAAAATTAATAGTACTTGAAACAAGGGACTAAAATAGTAAAATAATAGTTCAAAGCCCATACACTGATACAACTGGAATACATGCACGCTGCATTGATTCTACTTCCCAAGGGGAAAAAAAAGCTGCAACTCGGATACTCCATTCGCCTAGGCCCGGTAATGAACTAGTGATTACACGCGTATGTGGGCGGCAATGACTGAGATAGGAAAGAGAACCACTTATTCATTTTTACAATGTACTGCGGAATTTGAGCTGCCGGCAAATCGAGTGCTTGAACTCACAGCTGAACGAATGCCATCAAGGCCATGGGCCTCTCCTCCAGCCGAAAAGCGCTTCACTGTCTGGGATATAAGTCGCTGCATTGAATTCATAATGGCAGGAGTCCGCAGGAACTAGTTCGTCGACAAACAAATGTGCTTTCAAGGACACGTCTTTCAGGAACGGGGAAACTGTTCTGGAGAAACTAACCATTCATGAAAAACTCAAAAAATCAAACACGCATGCTTGCTGGCGCGTGGCCGCGTGGCGCGTGCCACAATGGCCACGTGTGAATGTACGCTCGCGTACAGTCATTGTACAAACTCGTGGGGCCGGGGCCGGGGGCGGCGCGGCGGGCGCGCCTTTCGTGTGTACGTCACGCCGTATGTATGATTTTCGTACATATTATGTCACTCATGCAATACGAAACTGGTGCAGATTTCTCGCGGAAAACCGCAAGTCCAGTTCTCACGCATCGATGTCGGCTCGTGCATGAGCTCAGCTTGATTGAAATGGAAAATCTCGACCCCGCATGTCAGTCTCGTGCCCACGTGTTTCTGTTTTTGATTGTTTTCAGAAAAAACGTTGCCTTTAGCTAAATCGATCTGTGCGTTTCTAGAGTTCGGCCGGGGCAGCCGATACATATGCAGGATATTTCCAGACACTGATGCGGTGAATGACAGGAATGTCGAGTTTTAGATTTTGAACTTTGGATTGTTTGCCTTTCTTTTGACGAGCTTGTCTTCTCTTCCTGCATTAGTCGTTCATCCATTCCGTCACTCAGCAGCCTTGCCCTGGGCCAAGCTTGGTGACATTGTCACGAATGGTAACGGGGGTCAGTTCATTCTAGGAGCTGCTGTCCGCAGCCGACACTCTTTGTCGCTGATGGTTCCTAAATCCTCCCCAATGCCTTTTGCACCGGTAGTCTGCTCCTTATATTTTTAGGCCTGAGCGAGGTGAATTCGCTGAAAAATTCGGAGGCTGAAAGGAGAGCTAGCTGTCGAGTGGACGTCTTGTGAGTGTGTGTATGTAAGCAGCCACTAGCAGTAGCGGAGATCTCTTCTCTCCCAGTGCAGCCATGGCGGACCTGGAAGCGGTGCTCGCCGATGTCTCGTACCTGATGGCGATGGAGAAATCCAGGGTCCAAGGTGGCAACACAGGGGGCATTGGCAAAAAGAAGCTGAACCTTCCTGATCCGAGGTGAGAGAATTGGGTTGTCTCATTCTGCTCCTTTTCATGCTTCGTTGATAGTCATTGTCGAAAATCTCCTGCACTTTGGGCGTAGTCTCGTTGCTGTTTGTTTTGAGAATAACAATTCAATTATTGCTGTATTCGGTCATCGATCTTGAGAATTGAGAATATTATTGTAGTACACGATTGTGCACTATTTTTTTTATTATAATTTACTAGTATTTAGGGTTCATAAGCTCTAGCTTTACTCTAAATTAGCCTGGAATAGTTGAGTCCGACGATCCCCACCAAGCACGATCCCACCTGCAGTCTTGGAATTCTGCTCGCGTGCTGTTGAGAAAAAGGAAAAAAGAATTAGTTCGTCACGTGTGAAGTCTTACTTTCCCATTGTTTGGTGCACCTGTACTTGAGCCACATGGTGCGGGGATTGTAGTCGGGAGCGGCTGTAGATTGTTATGCCGAAATAACTATCACTGTCGGTGCTGACGGGTACCGGTGTGGCTGACGGAGTGCAACAGTGGAGTGGTGTGCCAGCTTATTGGATTGGGAATAAAATTTAATAAAGAGTGTGTGTGTGTGTGTGTGTGTGTGTGTGTGTGTGTGTGTGTGTGTGTGTGTGTGTGTGTGTGTGTGTGTGTGTGTGTGTGTGTGTGTGTGTGTGTGTGTGTGTGTGTGTGTGTGTGTGTGTGTGTGTGTGTGTGTGTGTGTGTGTGTGTGTGTGTGTGTGTGTGTGTGTGTGTGTGTGTGTGTGTGTGTGTGTGTGTGTGTGTGTGTGTGTGTGTGTGTGTGTGTGTGTGTGTGTGTGTGTGTGTGTGTGTGTGTGTGTGTGTGTGTGTGTGTGTGTGTGTGTGTGTGTGTGTGTGTGTGTGTGTGTGTGTGTGTGTGTGTGTGTGTGTGTGTGTGTGTGTGTGTGTGTGTGTGTGTGTGTGTGTGTGTGTGTGTGTGTGTGTGTGTGTGTGTGTGTGTGTGTGTGTGTGTGTGTGTGTGTGTGTGTGTGTGTGTGTGTGTGTGTGTGTGTGTGTGTGTGTGTGTGTGTGTGTGTGTGTGTGTGTGTGTGTGTGTGGTGTATATGTGTGTGTGTGTGTGGTGTATATGTGTGTGTGTGTGTGTGTGTGTGTGTGTGTGTGTGTGTGCATGCATGTTCATGCAATTTGTATCTGTGTGTTTGGGTGTGGGCGCTCGGTTGTGTCAAATACTGTCAAATACGTCCTTGGTTTGTTTCAATTCAAGAAGCGTATGTGCCAATCAGCAGTCTATTGCACTTGACAATACATGTAATGTAATGTTACATCATGTGCTGGACTATCCACTGCGAACAAAACAAGACGGCCGGGACCGAATCCGTCTCTGCTTGCTTGTTCTGTTTCCACATGGCAGGGGGTGGTTGAAACATTCCCGTATGGCCAAAACATGCCCGGATGGCCAAAACATGTCCGAGAGATAGACATGTTCGGTTCTGGGAAGCTTATCTGTACGTGTAATGGTATGGGGTTGCTGCCCCCTCCTCCTGAGGGTGGCAATCTGGAATGGAGGTTTGAACTGTTTGTACACTACAGTCACGTTTTATGGTGAAAAAGGAGGACAACATGTTACAAGTTATGACTAACTGTCCACCAACGTAACCAGATCTTATACAGTCAGTGAGTGCGAGTGGTTACGTTGGTGGACAGTTAGTCATAACTCAGTGTGGGCGCTTTTTGTCCTGCTTTTTCACCATAATTTAATTGGCTCACCATCCGAGTCACGTTTCAGTGTATCGTACCGCCAAGAGTCCATAATCCCCCAGAGTGCGCAACTGGGATGGGGTTGTGGGACGGCGTAATCCGTGATGTACGTCATTTTTTGAGGTCGGACTTGCGTCATTTCGTCGACGCGGTCCACGACGGACACGCTTCCCCTACTCATGATGCCACACTATGTCTATGGCGCGCAACACGGATTTCACCGTCCCGGATCTGATCAGTGAAGTTGCGTACTCCGGGGGATCATGGACTCTTGGTACCGCCAAGTGCCGTTCAAGTCTGTACTTCATAACCGAGGTACTGCATAGTATCCTAGGTGAAAATCTGTACTTTATATAGCCAATTCACTGTGTAGGATCCCTGCCGTGGTGAAAATCTGTACTCTATCAACGAGGTACTGTAATCCAACGTTACAATTAAAAAACTGCCTTTCCAGGCGTGATGGACCCAGTAGCAGGCCTGTTCCTATAACGGGTCGGTTTGGGGGTTCTCCCTATAGCGGGTCGGTTTGAGTCGCATATATGGACAGCTCAGAGTGCACAGTGCGACAGGTGCATATCGTTCTTCCATTTCCGTCATACAAGGTCATGGATCTCTTGCACTCAGTGGACCCAGTCAAGACGTCATGTGTGCACTTGCATGACTTCCTTTTTTGGTTAAACCCGCCCTGCTATAGTGAGCCGATCCGTTATAGGGACCCACATAATTATAGTATCCCTCGTGAAAATCTGTTCTCCATCAACGAGGTACTTTAATCCAACGTTACAACAACAAACAACTGCTTTTCTAGGCGGTAACAAAGTAGTCACACTCAGGCGAAGAACCAGCTTCAGGCTCCTCGCAATCAACACCTGCAAAACTCTTCCACACTTGCTTTCATTGCCTTCTCAAGAAGCTGAACAAGCACAATGCATTCTTACATGGAAATTGTGGGCACAAGTTATGCGATCGAGTCCACCAACTAAACCAGATTTTGAACAGTCAGACGTTCACAATCTAGCACAAAACTGACAAGGATTACTGAGACATTTTTTTCTTAGGCTCGCCACCTCGCACAATGAATTCTACACGGCAGACATGTGATAGCAACCGCGCAAAGAAGAGTAGCCAGAAACAACGCGCTAAAGTGCATACTGTAAGACACGCCATTTCCGGTGCAACTTTATTTCGGTAGAGAACCTAGGCACCTAAATTTAGATTACACCTGAAAAGGCACTAGAGCATGCACTGTATGTGAAGGAAATGCTGATCACCCAATTCTACATTACACCTGAAACAGAGCCAGTCATACAATGATCACACAGCGATGACGCAACCAAGTTCTTTTTCCGCCGTTACTCGGAGTTTCGTGTGAAGCACTCATCAGACAGCATGATATCTGATGAGTGTGTCACACGAAACTCTGAGTAACGGCGGAAAAGGACTGGGTTGCGTCATTGCTGTGTGACCATAGTATGTTATATGTATGTATTATTTATCCTTCAAGGCTATATCCAGAGTCTTTGTTTTTGTTGAAGTTTACTATAATGATTTCCAGTAGGCCTCTGCTATAATACTGTAAAAGCAGAAATTTTCGGTGGTGTAATATTTTCGGTATTCGCCAAAATCGGCGGTTCGGTAGCGGGAAATTTTCGGTAAAACCCGTTCTCCAGGTAGGTGTACTAGTACTACATGTATACAGTATCGGTTGTACCGAAAATTTCGGTGCGTTTTATTTTCGGTAAAAATTGTCGGCACCGAAGTTACCGAAAATAAAACACCACCGAAAATTTCTACTTTTACAGTAATGTGGCTACATCAGGCCGCTGGCGATGCTAATATGTGCTTTCTTCTAAATTCTGCGTGAACGTTTTCTCGTGCTGCATTCACATGCGTTCGTGCACGTGTGTGTGTGTGTATGTGTGGTGTGTGTGTGCGTGCGTGTGTGTGTGTGTGTGTGTGTGTGTGTGTGTACACTGCACGTGTATGCCCGTGATTTCTTTGTTGTTGCAGTGTTCGGACGGTGATAGTGAAGCACTTGATTGCGAGGAACAAGCTGAACTTTGAGCGATTACTCCATCAGAGAATGGGTAAGGAGTACTAAGGACCTGTACAGTGCTGCTCAATGAAATCTAGTCGTGTCACTCAAGTTTGCGCCTTGCATCATTTCGCAGCCCAGTGTTCGCAGGTCTAGGGCTTCGCCAAGCCCGGCACGTACTTGAGTGACGCGACTGGATTTCATTGAGCAGCACTGTACTAATTAATTTCTTTGTGAAATACCTCCCATCTTCCATCTCCTCTCCGAACCTGTTCTCCATCTCTCCATGCGACCATCCCCCCGCCTCCTCACATATCTGCAGTGGCACACACATCCTCCTTGCTGAGAAAGATGACTACAAAATGTAAAGGGGTAGTGTCTTGTAGAAATTTGAATTGCACAGTTGATGTTCAGTTCGCTTGGGCCTTCCGGCTCATGACGATTAGTATGCGCTGCATGTAGTTGATATGATTGCTGAGTATTAAATACTCAAAGAGTTGGGCGTGGACACATAGTGCACCCCGTAAGAAGGCCTTAGGCCTGTGGGAATGCCCTATTCAAAATTTAATAAATATTATAAATGCCGTAACGCCGCGTATAAAAGCAGGTGCTCACGGCCGTTATAAGCCTGGGTTCAAACCATGCTTCTATTCAAAACATGCTTCTGCGTCGAAATCTGCAGTCTACACTGTACAGTGCACACATTGTCATGCATGTAGTGTGCACATACATGTACTTGCACGTATGCTTCTATTCAAATCGTGATTCTGTGACACGGCGCTCTTCAAAAAATCGGCTTCTATTCGAGTCATGCTGCTATACGGGTCATGCCTTTATACGCGACACTACAGTAATAATACTAATACCGTAAAGTCTTGTATAAAAGTCGCACTTGAATAGAAGCCGCCCTCGAATAAAAGCCACAATTTTGGGCCCATCAAATCACACGCAAGCCTGGTTTTAGTGTTGACATACATAGAAATACCTGTCTCATATAGAAGCCTGCAAAATTTCACCAAGAAAGTCATAGAAGACGCAGCTTTTATATAAGACTTTACGGTACATCATTCACTGGTTTGAGAAAAAGACACAAACGGGAAAAGTCTGAAGAAAAAATTGACTGTCACCACCAGGACTCGAACCAGGATAATAAATCACTGTGTATTTCGCGGTTGCTCTTCTTGGGCTCTCAATTTCCTGCGAATTACACAATGAATTATTATGACTCCAGATATCAAGAAACTGTGAGGAGAATACTGTAATTTCACAAATTTTCGGTGTACTTTTATTTTTGGTACTTTCGGTGCGTCTGTTTCATACCTAAAATTTCAATACACCGAACAAACACTAACACACATAATCCAATAGGGAACTGCTTCTCTGTACCGAAAATTTCTGTTCACCTAACCTAGCCTGTTGCCCTCATACCGAAAATATTGAGCACCGAAAATTTCTGAAATTAGAGTAATAATAAACCTGGCCAATATTTATATTATGACTTCAGTTTCATGTGCTGAAGAAACATCACAGGTCACAAATGTTACTCCATATGGTGAACATTTCCTCCATATATGGGCTCTTTCTGGCTGTATAGTATACCACATTTTGTTCTGTATATGGAAATCAGTAACAATCTTAGCCTGTGGACCTGGATACCTTTTTATTTGTGGCAAATTAGAAGAGATCTTGATCTTGATTGAAGCCAGTACAAGCTACAGTTGCGCTCACTGAAATCCGACCCAATGTGCAAAACTGGCACCCTCAACTTCCACGGCCCTTGACGCCCTAGCAGTGGAATGAATGCGGCTGGACGTACACATGTACATCCACAATGATGTAATCGGAACTGGTCCAGGGCGCCAGCTTTGCACTTTGGGTCGGATTTCAGTGAGCGCAACTGTACTAGTAGTAATAGACCTTATGTACCTTTAAAAGCCTTCACCATCTGCACCTGCATCGTCTTGACCTGGTGGTGCTTGATAGTGGATTGGATTGATGACCCGTGATCTCTCAACGGGACACTGCCAGCGTTCGCAAACATTGTGCACTGCACAACAAACCAATGTGATGTCAGAAACTAAGTCCGGGTCTGAATAATAGTTGTTCTTGACCAGGATTCTGAAACGCCCCTTCAGCCGTCCAAATGCCTGTTCCACAACGCGACGAGTTCGAATCAGGCGGAAGTTGAACGTCTTCTCCTGAGGTGTGACTGGGTTTGCAAAGCACTTCATCAGCGATGAAGAAAGTGCGTATTCTGCATCCCCAACCAGGTAGGGGGCAGTATTCGATTGTTTCCGATAGTCTTTTCTGGTGTGTTAAGCCATTGGCGGGTTGTCAGATTGTCAAACAGACGAGAGTTTATGTACGCTGCAGCGTCACCAACTGAGCCAGGTTTACCCACGTTTGCGTATGTGAATATCCCCCGGGCATCAACTGCAGCCAACAGAAGAATGGCAATCCGATGCTTATAGCACCAACACGAGTCGCCATACATAGCTGGCTTCTTCATCTCAACAAATGATCCATCCAGTGCACCCGCACACTGAGGGAGACAGCACAATCCTTCAAAGTCGACGACAACTGGACTGAGCTCGGCACCCGAGGGAAGTTTAATAGCGTCACGCCCTAGATGCCTCTTGAAGGCCTGGACAGTTTCATGCACGATGTTGGTTGCAGTGGTTTTCCTACACCATATTGCCGTGCCAAGTTCTTGAATGAAACATTATTTGCCAAGTAGGACAGAGTCATAGCCAACCTCTTTTCCTAGCTGACTAGCTTCCTCATCTTTGTCGTTGCTTTCACCAGATGATGTTCGCACATCATATGGAGACAATGAAAGGCCTCTTTCGACAGACGAAACTCGTCCCTGTATTGAAAGTCTTCCCAATCGCTGAATCTCTCCCCTACAATTCTGTACACACTGAGGAAGTCTCTCTCCCATGTACCTCCGAGACGTGGGGCAGCCTAGAATCTCCTTCCCCTTTTGCACTTGCATAAAATTCTCCAAAATTATGGAGAACACAGGAGCAGGAGGAGACGAGTGAAGAAATCTACTTCATGTTCATTGCTCAAATGGTCCGTTTCTGCAGTTGGCAGTGATTGTTGATCCCGGATCTCCCGTTGGATATCGTCAGAGTTCGCCAAACAGGACAGCCAGCATGACGAAGTCAGGAGAAACACAGCTGCGGTGCAGACTTTTCTTGCCCGATCCATGGCACTACAAATTGACACTAGAACTGAAAAAAAAGGACTTCAAATTCGGAAAGATACAACAACGATCGTGGACCTTTTGTCTTCTTGTAATAATGAAAAATTAATGAAAGATTTGAAAACTTTGGCTGACAAATATTTTGTATAATAAACCGGCTTTCGGTGGGGATCCGTGTCGTCGTAAGGCTTACCGTATTATCTCTAATATAAGCACAGTCTCCAATAATAGCACGTCTCCAATAATAGAACACATTGGGGCGGCATTCAAAAAATAAAGTGCTCAGTCTCCATTATAAGCACACTGTGTAAATTCATTATCTGTACGGGCAAAAAAACCCTGAAATGTGTGTGTCTCACATGAATTTGGCATGGCAACAAGCCTCTGAAATGAGGTTGAAATAATAATGGAACAGTCTCCAATAAAGGAACGTCTCCAATAATAGCACGGGGCGGAGGTACATTGAAAAAATAAAGGACCGTGCTTATATTAGAGATAATACGGTATGCTGGTTAGTACAGGTTGTACAGATGCACGAAATCCCGTAGACCCGGTTGGGTGTTGAATGTGCAGGACCCTATTGTGTTTTCTGCTATTTCCACTAAGAAATGGGCCCTGAAGGAATTTCATACGAAATCCTTTTTCTGACAAAGATCTAGCTAGTCATTAGTTCTCACCAAAGTGAAGAAGCTGGAAAAGCGATTGCTTGCCAATAAATTATGAGGCTAAGAGGTCAAATGCGCATGCATAGCACATAATGAACACCCAACCGGGTCTACGGGATTCTACGGGATCTGTACAACTACCGTAAAGTACCGTTGATCCGCCCCCTCTCTAATTCCGCCCCCTGTCGATTTTCTACCTGTGAAGCGATTTCGGCGTATACAACGGAATACGATGTTGAACCGACGCTTACACTGCTGTACACAATGCGTGCCAATCCAGGATGAAAATGTGCACAATTTAGCACATCGAGTCTGATCCTCCCAAGTTGTTGTACATCGTACTGCACTTGACAGCCTTGATCTAATTCCCGCCCCCTGCTGAAAACCAGCTGGGAAGCGACATGGCGTGGGGGCGGATCAACGGTACTTTACGGTTGTACTAACCGGCATAAGGTCTATTGAGTTTTCTTGGTGATTTTGTGACGTAAACAAATGCGCCAGGCCGCGGCGGTCATGAGCTGCAAAAAAAACACTGTGTGACCCCGCGTCTGCATCAAGTGCTGCGGCTTGACGCTGCATCCAGCTTCAAACTTGCCGTAGTGTGACCGAGGCCTAAGGCTTATGCAGGCTTCTTGCTAGGCTGGAGTGTGTGTGCGTGCGTGCGTGGCGTCACAACCCCGAATACAAAACCATGTGATAATTGACGCCTGCTGCTGCTGTTGTTATTGTTGTGTTTGTTCCTATGCACCCAGGCTATGAATTGCTGTGTGATTTCTGCTGTCCCGATGGTGCTAGTCACTCAGAGAAGTGTGAACCTCGGTACATGCTCTTCAGTTTCTATCGCAGGGTAGGTGGGCCAGTACATGACAGGCTGAATGTGCTATGTGCTGGATGTCTGTACGTGGGTAGGTGTGCAAACACAACATCACAAACTGGATGTGTGTGTGTGTGTGTGTGTAAGTGTGTGTGTGTGTGTACGTGTGTGTGTGTGTGTATGTGTGTGTGTAGGGGTACCGGGTGTGTACGTGGGTGCAAGTGTGTGTATACAAATGTGTCTACACGTGTGTATACACATATGTGTGTGTGTGTGTACAACGTTAAAAGCATACAAGTGCAAATACGTTTAGGCCATGTAAAATAATTATATTGATTGTTTAGGCGAGACCAAAAAAAAATAAAGATTCCCGGGCCCTCCCGCACCAAAATCGAGCTAAAGCCAATTTTTTTTTTTTTTTTGAACAGTTCATACATGTACAGTACTGATCGTGTGAGTAGATCTGTGACGTGGAGTCACACAAACCCGGGCTTGTACGACTCCCTGATGTACAGATCAGGGCCATCGTTGGCCGAAATATAGAAAAATTGAACGGGTAAACCGCGTACCTGTTGTCTGTAAAAAATTGAATAAAAATTACCGGAAAATCCTGTAAAAAAAGTTCAACATGGCATGTACATGTACATACACGGGAAAAAAAATAAAAAATAAAATTCGCCCGCCCGCACCAATTTCACATGGGTCCTGCCCGGGAATCTCGATTTTATTTTGGTCTCGCCTTATCGTCAGATTTTCCCGAGAAATCGGGGCGGACGGGAGGTTTTTAATTTTATTTTTTATTATGCATGTATGGCTGTAGGGCAGGTGTTCGCAACCCCAGAGGATAATGGAAAGTGGAACAACCAATGTTACGTAGAAAAAACGAAGAAAATCAGGCAGCTTATGATCAGTTTCACTTTTCAAGCCCATAGCAACTAAGTTATGGTTCAGTCTGTGACTTGACCTTCGAAAATCTACGGCCATGCTGATTAGAGGCTGTAGACCGCAGTACATACAGTACATTTACCAGTATTAAAAAATAAAATAATTCGGCGGGGAGGGTGAAAATTTGGGGCGGGCGCGGACGATAAACAATCAATTTTTTTGCTTGGCCTTATATAACCTTTTGGGTGCCACCACAAATGCATGTGATTTTTTGAATTTCAACGATTTGATGTTCTTTGATCGTAACTTCAGTTCTACTTGTTCAGTCTTCTGTCGGGTGTGTGTGTGTGTGTGCGTGCGTGCGTGTGCGTGCGTGCGTGTGTGTGTTTGTGTGTGTGTGTGTGTGTGTGTGTGTGTGTGTGTGTGTGCATAGCGTATTAAAGCCGGGCTTGTATCTGTAGAGCAGGCAGGCACAGTGGGTTGGTCTAAGACTATGATTGAGAAACGAGAGGTACCAGGTTCAAGTCCTGCTTGGAAGCGGAAGGATTTTTTCCAACCGTGCTGCGACCCACAGTTAATTGGGAACTCGTGGCCTGGCATGAGTAATACATGGATGTGGCAAATGGGATCGAGGCCTTTGGCCTCTGGTTGGTGGATCTGATCTATCCTCCCCCACCGTTTAGGAGCCGCATCTGACGCCTGATTATGGGGTGGTGGCGTCCCACGGAAGCGGAAAGGTGGTTCTTGACCAGGGAGTTGTACGACTCCTTGTTCTTGACCTGCCCGGTACGCGAACCCCGTCGAATTTATTTATATTTATTTATTGTATCTGTAGAAGCCAATGTCAGGGCTAGGCTTCTATTCACATCAGGCTTCTATTCAAACCTGGTATTTCTATGTGAGTCAACACTAAACCAGGCTTAGGTGGCGACAGTGTATCTTGAAAATCAGGCTTCTATTCAAAACAGGCTTCTATATGAGAAAGCCTTTAATGCAAGACACTGCGCTGTGTCCCTGGGTGACAGAAGTAAGACATGATTGTATTCATGTGTGTCTTCCTGTGTAAACCACTACTCCGAGTTACGCTCCAGCCTGCCTGTCGGCGTTTGCTAGTCTTTTTAAAGTTTTTTTTTGTTAATGTCAGTGGATGCTAACGTGTCTGCTGTGTTTTACTGTGTGTGTGTGTGTACTTGTGTACGTGTGTGTGTGTGTGTGTGTGTATATTATGTGTGTGTGTGTGTGTGTGTGTGTGTGTGTGTGTGTGTGTGTGTGTGTGTGTGTGTGTGTGTGTGTGTGTGTGTGTGTGTGTGTGTGTTCAGATCGTTGTATATGAGAAGACGTTCATGGAAGAGGAGCGTGGTTCCCTGGCACATGAGATCTACGACCAGCACATCATGCCATCGTTACTTGTTAGAGATGAGGTAAGAACTCTCTCTCTCCCCCCTCTCTCATGCACTCACTGACCTACTGTAATGTCATGTATAAAGCTGCAGCTCAGTTGCACACACTACGCTACTTCCTGCCGCACATCTGCACCGACTATGCTGTTATCCTGGAATTTCGCCGTGCCAGACACCGATGCAGAAAAGTCAGAAGCTGCACATTCTGAGTTTCATGCACATTCTGGGTTTCATGTACTCCTGTTTTGTACGGAACTATTTCATTATATGTCGTCTGTGCTGTGTAGACTGCGCTGGAGCCCATCCATGATGCAGTGGCGGAGCGGATACGCAAGGAGAACTTCCCACTCAGCCTGTTCAACGTAAGCTCCATTGGTGGATGTGTGTGTATGCACAGGCACATGCTGCATGTTTTGGAGGTGGTGGTCGATGTGTTTGTATGATGTTGTTTATGGTTCTGTTACGTCACTCCTGTCACTCCTGTACCAACTGAGTGCAAGAACCCAGATCGGGACCTGAACATAACGCCACTGGAGATGCATCCCTCACTAATGTAACCATTGGTTCCGAAGTAATTTGCAGGTTTGTGTTGCGTTGTGTTTTGCTTGGCTTTTGGCAGCCCTTCAAACCAGGTCTGGAGACGAAACTCAAGGCCCTCGTCTGGGAAGACTTCCTCAAGAGGTACTACTGATTGTTATTGGCATTTCTGGTTAAATATTAGTTTTTTTTTAAGGTACGCAAGCTCCACTGCAGCCACTTCGTTGCATGGAAAACGACTACAGTATCACCAATGCAAGTGGTTTCTTTGCTGCAAATTTCTATTTTCTCAATTATTTTTTTGGCCAGGAGCCATACAGAGCATGCATACGGTCAGCTATTCTGCACGTACACACTACACGGCATGTATGAAACCTCAAATATGAGCACAATTGCATTAAATACGAATAAAGAACATAATTTGATGGTGCCTGGTGATTGCTCAGCATGAAACTCAGAGATGCGATCAGCCGTTCCAACTTCTGTATTCTTCAGTAGGAACACGTTCCAGAAGCATGGAATAGAGGGAGTATATGTACTAGTTCGAGTTGTTTACCTTCATGGTTGCTTTTGCCTCCTGCAGCAACTGCCATGTACTGTCCTCCGTTTGTTTGTGTGTGCACGCTACTGGGGCGGGGGCTGAGGCATTCCGTTGATGCAATCAACTGTTGTATTTTCTGTTTTGTCCGCTCTCCTCTGCTCTGCTCTTTTCTGCTCTGCTCTTTTCTGCTCTCTTCCGCTCTCCTCTGCTCTGCTCTCTTCCGCTCTCCTGTCCTCTCCTCTGGTTCCATGTGCAGTCAACAGTTTGTCGCCTTCTGCCAGTGGAAATATGTCCAGCTCAACCAGCGGGTAAGTTACAGTGTAGAGATAGGTAGAGAGGAACAGAGCGACACAGAGACAGACATACAGACAGACAGAGGTAGGCAGAGAAACAGAGAAGCGCGGACACAGACATTCATGTACAGATAGACAGGCAGATAGACAGAGAGGTGCAGACAGCGACAGGCAGAGAGACACAGAGAAACAGAGACAGAGGTAGGCAGAGAAACAGAGAGACACGGGGACAGAGACCGACAGACAGAGACAAAGAGTGTTATGTTCACGGCCACCCAAAGACAAGTCGAGTAGGAGATTCTTCAAAAGCCTGATTATGCGCACAATGATGTGCCAGCAGTGGTCCAGTAGAAAGGTTCATTCAAAAATTAAACTGCAAACAGCCGAACTGCACAATAGGAGCAAGACTTGTGTGTGCGTGTGTGTGTGGGGGGGGGGGGGTGAACTCTTCTTGATATCACCCTATATATTTCCCTGCTTGATATCTGGTTTCTGCCATTTCACACCCTGTGTGAGGGTGCACCTGGGTAAGATACAGTGGGGAGTACGACTGTTTGGTGCAACGTTCCATGTACTGAGCATGTGTCTGGATTGTGTCTGGGTGTGGGGTGTTTTAGGTGACAATTGAACATTTCACAATTCACCGCATCATCGGCAGAGGTGGATTTGGAGAGGTGTTTGGCTGTTGCAAGAGCGACACGGGACAGATGTAAGATAGGTCGACTGTAAGGTGGCTGGGGCGGTACAACTTTTTAGGGGTCATTTTGATTACATTTCGACTGCATTTTTGAGTTTATCGGCAAGGTGGAGATGAAATTTGAAAATGTCTTCTGGTGAATCTCTGGAGAAGAGCCTTCTCTACCTTCCTATAGTTTTATTTTTACTTTTGGACAAGATTTGAAAAGGTTTTATGAAAGGTCCGTGAAAAAATAACACGAACCTTTCATAAAACGTTTTCAAATTTTGTCCAAAAGTAAAAATAAAACTGTAGGAAGCTAGAGAAGGCTATTCTCCAGAGATTCACCAGAAACATGTTCAAATTTCATCTCTGCCTTGCCGATAAACTCTCTCTGTCTTTCTCTCTCTCTCTCTCTCTCTCTCTCTCTCTCTCTCTCTCTCTCTCTCTCTCTCTCTCTCTCTCTCTCTCTCTCTCTCTTTCTCTTTCTTGTTCTCAACATTTTTCTTTGTTCCCTAGTTAGTTTTATTGGTACCATTCCTGGTGTCTGTCGTGGAGTGTGTTCGCTCCTGGTTTGAACTTGCTCAAACACTTGTCCAAGCACGGTCATCTTCACACTGA